CCACTCGTTTCACTTTAAACCTCTACCTCCCCGAAAGCCAGATTTCTCAGAGAACAACACGCGTTTACCACCAATCGAACCATATTCCTTTGGGAAGAATTATTCCCATGCGACAGCATCTGTGAAGCCCAAATGCTTTTGCATACGTCTTTGAGATGCCTGTTGCAAAGAAAGTTCATACCTAGAATTGTCAGCCTTTCTAATTGAAGTTAAATGAGAGTTTTCACTTTTGATCATCTCAACGTATGGACAAAACGCTCTCAAATGCAACATTGTGGACCATGTAGATCAAGTTTAGTCTGACACCTGTACGGTTAAGGTTTCTGTGGTCACTGCCTGGTGAGAAATATGACAACCCGTTTGAAGACTGCAAGAGACGGAGGGAGAGAGGGAGAGCTGCGCTCTGCTAGTTTTACAGGAAGCTCCTCCCTTCCGGCTGAGGCCTGCAGCTCAGCTCAAGGGGGAGGCCATGTTCAGGTCAGAGAGAGGGTGGAGTATTGCTTGCACACACTGACAAAAAACTGGTTTGCTTTTTTGGCGTTCACACTTGCGTGGATATACAAGCTTGTCGCACAAGCTTCTAAAAAAACCTGTCTCATAGTCTCAGCCTGTCTCACAGTTAAATAGCAACATTCATCAATCAAACCTGTCTGTGGAGAACTTCACAGACGGGAACAAGCCACGCCGTGGTAATCACAACTAGGTTTCAATTTGTTTTGAAAACTCGAAAAATTCCAAAGCATGTATTTACCAATCTAATCGTCTAATCTAATGTTAAAACATTTTATGTTGATAAATTTAAATAAATGTAAAATGTAATAAATGAAATTGTAAAATGTGTATTGTTTTTATAAAGAACTATATTATTGGAAAAGTTCAGTTGTTTGTTTTAAATATTAATGCTAATATTAATATTATTAATTATTAATAAATATTTTATTATTTATTTTTAGACACACCATGAGGTAAAATATTAATATTAATCTCAATATTAATATTTTATATTTTTCTTAGGCTTCACACAGTGTCTAAAATGATTAATAAAATACAATTATTAATATTAACCAAAGTTATTTTTATTAAACTTACTACTGTATTATATTTATCATTTAAATAATTTGTTGTAAATTACATGAATAGTTCAGTTGTTTGTTTCGAATGTTAATACTAATATTATTATTAATATAAATTAATTAAAATTCATTTTTAATAATATTATTTTATTTACTAATTTTAGACACAATGAGAAGCTTATGAAAACATTAACATCAATGTTCCTATTTTTCTTAGGCTTCACACAGTGTCTAAAAATTAATAATAAAAACAAACTATTATTATTCATTGATGTTAATATTATTTTAAATATAAATACATATTATAATTTATATTCATATAAAAAAATCTTAGGCTTCACATTGTGCCTTACCTGTGGTAAAACCACTTTCATTCTTTTTGGCTTATTGCTTTATTTAAGCAGTAACACAGACAGACCCTAGGAAGTTGTTTACATTGCCAGCGTCACATGGGGAAGTTTCTGTCAGTCATGTTTGTTTGGAACGCAATTGCTTGTTTAGGAGGGAAATCCTGCAATCTGTGCCACAGGAAACACAGGACTAGACTGGGAGTGGTGGCATTATGAGGACAACGAGACAGGAGAGACGATTTAGCAACTCCATTAGCTTGTTTAGTAGGTTAATTGTGTGTAATGTGGCAAGAAGTGAATGTTCGTGCGGGTGTTCAGCCCTTCGAAATACATTTCCTTTGTCATCCCTCAAGCGGGCAACAAAAAAACCTTCTAGCAAAAACCTTTCTTCCATTCTCACACCAACGTGCAAGGCAGAATGTGTGTGTGTGTGTGTGTGTGTGTTTGGCACCCGCCCTTCCTCAGACACCTGCAGTTTTAAACCACTTTGCAGAAACTTGTCCATCTTGTGTACTCCTGTTTTTACTGTGCATGTGTCTTATTTAGTCAATTTGAAGACATCTATGCACTGTCTTCTAGTGCCAGAATTACTATGACGAAAGCAAGGTGTGAGATTCCTCAGAAAGACAAAAAGAGATCATGTATTTGTGCATTTTTCAGAGCTGAGCTCGCATCTAAGTATGTCTCTCGCATGCTGCTGCGTCCTGCTTCTTATCAAAAGGTGTGATTTCCTGTCTGCATGTCTCACAGTGCTTTGGATGTCTGTCTACAGCATCCTTTCTGTCACACAACACACACACACACACACTAAGATACTGGATGGGTTGGTGCCATTTTCGTACCCGTAAGCACATTGTTTGATGTGAGAATGGAAGCTGGGGACCAGTTTAAAAGGGGGGTATTAAAATGGGGCCCCTTTGCTGCCCATCAGGTGAAATAAAGAGGATGCAATGACTGTGGAAATGACAGACCGATAGACAGAGACTCTAAAATACAAAGTAGAAGATAGAAATAGAAGCATTATTTAAAGATCTCTGTCTTTCCTCGGGCCATGTCTCAAATGCAGCTCTTCTTCAACTGCTCACTTTAGTGACTGTCAGGTAGTAATCCGATATTAAATCCGAATCTTGGCTTCTCTATATTTTGTCTGACTGGCTTTATATTTATATAGTCTTTATATACTGATATATTTATCTGAGTGATGTAACCCCACAGGCTGTCCAGTCAATGTTAGAGTTCTGGTGTGGGCTGATGTGTTATAAAGGGACCTCGAAGGGTCCAACTGGAAGACCCAGACTAAGGGAGAGCAAAAAACAGCTACAAGGATGTTATTTATAGGTCATTTCCTCTCTCCTGCAGTGTGGCCTGACTATGGTCATCTGACTGTCTGCAGTTAGCATGTTCTTATAAGGATGCTCACTAGAGTCTAGAATACTGCAAGTGCATTGATTACAAATATATATATATTACAAATATATAATGTTGTGATGCCTAAATTCACTTGTTTGTCTATTCACTGACAAATGTATATTGCATTTAAAATAATTTTTTTGCACTACAGTAAACAGTGTTTGTGTGTGTGTATATATATATATATATATATATATATATATATATATATATATTTACATTATATATAAAAATGTAAATTCTATATATTATTAAAAATCTATATTATATATTATAAAGTTTTATATATATATATATATATATATATATATTAGTGCTGTCAAACGATTAATCGCAAAATAAAAAAAATTGTTTACATTATATATGTATATTTACTGTGTATATTTATTATTTATATGTATATATGAATACACACATACAGTATATATATTTAAAATATTTACGTTTATACATTTATATATTCATATTCTTATATTTTATATTATATATAAATACATTTAATATATAAATATAACATTCTTAAATATATGCATGCGTTTGTATTTATTTATACATAATAAATATACACAGTATACACACATATATTATGTAAACAAAAACTTTTATTTTGGATGTGATTAATCGCGATTAATCGTTTGACAGAACTAATATGGAGAGAGAGATAAACTGAACTGTTCACTTAAGTGAGCTAAGAAATAATTTTATAATGTATATATTTTTTATTTTATATAAGTGTGTGTATAAGTTAATAATAGTTTTATATATAGTCTAAATAAGTTAAATATTCCATCCTTTGACTAATGCAAATTGGGTCTAGTGGCTCTTATGCTTTTCTATCCAGATCTCATTTGCCATCTTTTTCTAGTATGAGTTTTTTGCCAAAACCTAGCCCAGATCAGGGAAGATCTTCCAGATTTGGTGCCATTATGTCAGAGGTCTAATCCACGAATAAACACAGGCACGTGGAAAGTGACTGTTTTCGGGGTCATATAATCATGCTCTGCTGCTGGAAATTCACCACGCCCAAGCAGATCGGCCTGCCGAATGAGGTCATGCGTGATGCAATCATTCATGTATGCAAACAGCACCGGCCCATCAGCGTTTTCTTTTGCGTTAATGGCCCTCTTTTCACTCTGAAAGTAATTGACTCCCCCACTGTGTTTATTCAAAAACAAAACATTTTGCATCTCTGACTGGAAAAAAAGAGACTTTAACATGACGCTCTCTCAGCGTATGATTGGCCAACTGTGTCAGACCTTCCAGACGCACCGTGCAACCCAGTTGGAAGCATCTTACCCAGAAGCCCCTGCTGCGGGGCCAGTTAGGGCACTAGGCCGGGACGCTGCAGTTTGTCAGCTGGGTTTCTCTCACATTCCCACGAGAAGCCCTGCTCGAAAATAGCTCTCGCAAAGTCCACCAGGCAAAGTTGGCGCAGATTTACAGCCGGAGGCTGATACCGCTTGAGCCGGAGGCTGATACCGCTTGTCCAGTCATTGTGCATTATTTTAGCATTTAAACGTCTGCGGTTTGTGATAATAAGCTAGAAATGTGTGGGCGGCGCACACTGCAGGTTTTCTGGAGTAAATGAGAGTGTAGAAAAGGAAGGTCAGAGTATTTTAGGGATTATACTGCAGTCAGTGAGGAATTCAGCAGGAGTGAGGTCATTAGTGACAGAACTAAACAAATACTGCCTTGACGTACATTTGCACTCGCGTATTCACATGGCAACATGATAGCAGATGGTTCTGTCAACGTATTAAGCATCTGAACAATACATCCGACCTTTTCCTTCCGGCATACACACACGCAGTCTCACATAGTGTCAACACGCGTACTAAATTTAACGTTCACAGTTTTAGTCCTCAGATACGTTCCCTTTGCACCTGTCTCCTGCAGTTCACAGCTCTGTCTGAAGTGATAGACACCCTCTAGCGCGGCTCTCATTTAATGTGACCGACTGCTTGCATCAATCCTGCTATTACTGTACTGTACTGTAGTTTACCGAGAGCATCTGAACGCCTGACATAGACGGTACGATGTACACTGAATCGAACGCAAATGTGTGAAATGTAGCAAATCAGAATGATGATGACTTCATTTTTCTTCATATTGAGCAATGCTCATCGTTTCTCTCTCTCTTTTTGGCTTTCTTTTCTTCCCTCTCTAGGCGTCTGATCCCATTCCTGCCAAGAAGTCCAAACACGATGACTTTCCAGCACAGTTGCCCTCAAGAGACAAAGATAAGCAACCTGATTGGCTACGATCCCTCTCTGCATCAGCCAATAAGGTTACTAAACTTATTTTTTTTGCTGGTGGATACATGTGATTAGTTGTGTGAAAGTACAGAGTTCAGATAATTATATATTTATCTGTGTATTAATATTGTACAAGTCTGTTTACGAAACTTGGCCGTTCCTAAGATGATGTTTGGAGCCAGGCAACTGTTTTCTTGCCACAGAGAATCAGATTCTTCTGAAACAAGATCTCAACCCAAAATAACTGAGGATGTTCTTTTGAAAAAAATCAATTCTCCTAAAACGAAGAGAGCCTGCAAATAGGCTCGCAGAGTTCTCCGATTTCAAGCAGACACAGTGACCTCGGTGTACTTGTACTGCTGGTCATTCTTCAAGCTTGTTTTATCTGTCTCTCTCACTTTTAAATGTTAAATTCAAGAGACTTTCAGCAAGCAAAAAAATATATATATTTTTCATGCTCTCCATGCAGATGGTCTCTGTTCTCTGTGTTCATGTTCAAATGTATTATGATTGTGTTCTCAACTGTGAAAAACTTACATGTAACTCAATAGGCGTCTTTTAACATCTCTCTGTCTTGCTGCAGGGGCTCAACTGCATCCAGCCCAGACAGAGACCGTCTGCCTTCAGGCCATGGTCTCCAAACATCTCTGTTGGTGATAAGGAGGGAGGCTGCAGGCCTGCTAGCATGTTACGTGACAGGTAAACAATAAGAATAAATATTATATGGCACTCTGAAATACTTGATTCTGATTGGTCAATACTCACATCATATTAGCATATAATAGTTATTTATTTAACATAATTTAAATGATGTTCATTTTCTGATAATATACCACAACCTGCAGTTAAAAGTCAAATCTACATCACCATCATTTCATTGTGCAATCATCATTTTATTAAAAAGATGATTTAGTGCACAAAGATTGTAAAAGTAACCTTAAGAAAGGGTGTGCATATGTAGTGTGAAACCAGCATGTTAGTCATGCTCGGCTGCGGTTTTTCTAAAGCAAATCAGCATAAGGTTTGGATCTTCTCTACAGAGGAACATGATGCAAGCCTGTTGGCCATTGTTTGTTTAGATATATGTGGTTTTAACTTTACCGTCATAACTAGAGGGGGTTTGGGTGAGTCATGCGTCGAGCCCAGAAACCGCTCGCAACAGTCGTTGTTCTCTCCCCACCCTTCTTTTGTGGGTGGCAGAGATGCTTTTTCCTGTCAACCTGCCATTTGGTTGGGATTATTCATTACTAAATCACCCGTACTCTTTAAGGTGATGTTAGGTAATGCCGTTACACAAGCAGCAGCCAGTAGTGCATCATTTGTGAACTGTTACTAAAAATTTGCATCACTGCATATACGTGGTCTGCTCACTCACTCCATATCATCTTCTGCAGCTTCTACAACTACAAGAGCCTGGAGAGCGCCGTGGCCCCCAACGTAGCTCTGACACCCCTCCAGAAAGGAGGGCAGGCCTCTCCTACCGCCCCGAGCAGTTCACACCCACATGGGGCGGAAAGCGAAGGTGCCAGCCGCGGGAAGAAGAGGAGGCTGACGGGTGAGACCCACCCCAGCCCACAGCCCTGCCCCTCGGCCACTGCCAGCAAGCCCCTGCCGCCCTCTCAGGAGGAGCGAGACTCGGACGTGGAGGTGGAGGTGGAAGTGGAGAGCCGTGAGGAATGTGAGTACATGACACACCTTTTCACTGTCACTCCACCTCATTAAAGGAATGTTCCAGGTTCAAAGCATGTTAAGCTTTATTGACGGCAGAAAATTAGGTTAGACTTTCATGCTGTGATACCTACCTTTGATCAATGGTGACAGTTGATAGTTGTTACTTTTATTTAGCAAGACTGCACTGAAATGTGATTTTTATTTCAAATGAAGCACAACTTTTTTCAAGATTAATCATAATAAGAAGAAATGTTTTTTGAGCACCAAATCAGCATATTAGAATGATTTCTGAAGGATCATGTGACACTAAAGACCGAAGTAATGGCTAATGAAAATCCACAGGAATAAATGACCTCATTTGAAACTGTTTTTATATAAATAACAGTACATCATTTATACAAATAAACGCAATGTGAAGTATCACAGAAAATAATTTAGACTTTGGAAAATGATCAGAAATAGTTTTACATTAATGCAATCACAATTGAATTCTATGGCACAAAATACACACTGTTTAGACAGTAAAACCACAAGTCTTAACATTGTATGTGGTACATTGTAATGAAGGAATGCTACATTCCTTTAACATATTTGAAGACCAATTTGGGTCAATAGTGTTTTAACTGCGACCCTCGATTTTGTCGCTGCGTTGTGAAACAAAAGTGCTCGTTTAAATACATTAAGATTTCGTTCACAATTCATTTGCACACAGTTCATTTTCAGTCAACCTTGAGCGCTCTGGAGAGAGGTGGATTAGAACGGTAACAGCTCTTGTGTGAATGCGGCAGAAAATCAATGAGGGTTCTTTCGTTCCTCATCCTTTACGGTTCATTTTAAAGCACATCTTGTGTGTTTGACAGCTGCTTGATAAAACTGGCTGACATATGAACCAGTGAAGCCCACGTACTCTGATCCATCACTTAATTATGTCTCTTCTCTATCTTTTTTTTTTTTTCAGTCACCTCATCGCTTTCCTCACTCTCCTCCCCATCTTTTACATCCTCGAGCTCTGCTAAGGACTTGAACTCTCCCTCCGGCCCCGGAGCCACCTTACCAGCAGTTCTGACGCCAGCCAGCGGGCCCCCTGAGAGTCCCCTGGTGTCCGGAGGGGAGGGACATGCCATGACAAACCTGGAGTCGGAGCTGGAGACGCTGAGGCAAGCACTTGACAATGGCCTGGACTCAAAAGAGTCAAAGGAAAAGTTTCTACATGAGATAGTGAAGATGAGGGTAAAACAGGAAGAGAAGCTGGGATCCGCCTTACAGGCCAAACGGAGCCTCCAGCAGGTACACACACACACAGACACTGACACTGATTCATGAAACATGATTTAAAAAAGAAAAAATCTTTTATAAATCCATTCTTACATTAATTGCTAATTAAATTCAACGATTTACGTAAGAATGGGTTTACACAACAGCACATTGGAGGTTTCATTTCATCTTTGCGATGACGAATCATACATGTGATGTTGAACTTTCACTGAATATATTTATAAAGCCATGTATTAACTATATAGAATTTTCAAAAATATTCTGTTTATATATAATAATTTATAAGTTCTTTATTATAATATATTCATTACTTTTATTACTTTATTATAATATATATTAATTATTATTTTTTATCAACAGCATTGGGACCATACTTTTATAAATATAAATATAATTATGATTATATGTTATTTAATTATTATAATTATGTTACTTTATATAT